CGACTCCGGCCGAAGGCCCGACACGCCTCGCTTTCCGGAGCCGTATCTCGGTAACCAACGGTCGCAGCGACATGCAATTTGCACGGTGCAATAGAGCATGGAGTGGGCCATCGCAATCAGATGCGTTTTTGGCGCCACGTCATGTTGTTGTTGACAAGATCAAATCGGCCGCTTTTGATGCGTTTTTGCGTTGACCGTTGTATCTCGTTGTATCTCGGCCCGGCAAAAAGGCAGATGTCTGAATTTTTGTTCCCAACATTCCCAACTGAAGCGGCTACATGTTCAGTTTGCACTGGGAGCTTCTACAAAGCACCGTTGCGCTGCAACTTGCAGGACAAATTGCAGGATGCCAAACTATAAAAAACGGCGCCGAATACAAGCCGCTACTGTCAAAACGATGCGTAATCTAGCGTTAAAACTTGCCTTAGTGTGTCGGCCAATTTGTCCTGTCTCTAATTCACCCTTTGGTTGACCGCATTTCAAAAACTGTCGCTGGCAAATGAGCATAGACTAAGGGGTTCCATGACGACTTTGTCGTCGCGACGGCGGCAGGCTGCTGTCCTGACTCCAGGCGAACGCCCTGGGCGATAAGGGCCAAAATGGGCGTTCGCGGGGCGAGCTTTCAACTTTGTTCATTAAGCCCCGCTTCACATTAAAGAAGAAGCAAGCTAGCTTGCCTTCAGGCTTTCTGGAAGTTGGCCGGGAGACGGTGTGCGGGGGGGGGGGGGGGCGTTCCGGGAGCGATCTCGGTCCAGGCATGGCGGTCGGCGGTGCGCTGCGCGTTGCGGTCGCCGTGCGCGCACAAGTGTCGGTTTTGTTGCGACGGGCGGAGTTTGAAAAACCGAAGCCGAATTCAAGCTGCCACCGTCAAAACCATGTGTGATTCAGCTTTGAAAACCACATAGGCGTGTTGGCCGGCTCATTGTCTCTCTTTACCCCATCTTTGCTGATCGCATTTCTGCACATGTCGTTCGTAAATGAGTCTGGATCGATGGGTTACACGGCGGCTTATTGCGCCGCGACGGGACGGCGTCGTTTGGTGTCTCGGCCGACGCCGGAGTTTGCTTCCAGGTTAAACGGCCGTCTGATGACGTGTTAGCTGCCGGAATTTATTACCTCCCACTGATTATGCCATCTGGCACTAAAATCTCTACAGCAATGGGTTACAACCACGACGCGGGTATGACACGAAAAGGTGTACGGTGCGAAAGGGTACGGTCACACGTGTCACGTGCCACATGCTTTTTCTTTCTTCCACGGGCTTGCAGGTTGTGTGCCACAGCCCGGCTTTCTGGTGATACATTGGCTGTTTTGGGTTTCTGATTCATTTGATGATCAGGGTGTGTATTTTGGTGATGTAAGTGTCGAATCTAGATGGTGCTTAAGTTAATGTTCCTGAACGGAGTCGTGGTGTCTTACTGCGCACAATCGCGGTGCCTTCGTGCTGATCTGCTTCCGTTGTGAAATGTGGCGCACCTCGATCGCCGCGGCTCGGACGGCATCCTTTCGGTACCGGCGAGCGATCGCTGTACAATAGTCCGTGCTGCGGTGTGATGCTTCAGTCGGCGGGGATCAGACGTCTCAAGAGTCAAGCTGCATATCGACGTCGGCTGGAGGTAAGATGTTGGCGAAATAAGTCTGATGTTCACCGATTAGCAATGCCCTTGTTCCTCAATTGGATAATGCGAAGCTGGAGGTAAGTCGAATAGATCCGGGCGAGATAAGACTGATGTTCGCCGATTGGCAATGCCGTTGCTTTCCAGTTGAGCCCCCCCCCCCCCCACCCCCCGCCAAAAACAGAAATGTGTCGTAGCGCGCAGCGGTATTCCATTCGGTGTGGCACGTCAGAAACAACCCGCTCGAGGTTCTGTCATGGCCATGACCTTTGCCTGTTAAAATCCTTGATGAAATCATGCACCGCACAGCGTACAGTGCCATCTAGCGAGGTAGGCGGCAACCCGTTTTCAGTGGCGCCCTTTATAACGCTGATTGTGCCTCCGGTCTGTTGTGCTGCCTGCATCCATAGACAAGGCCTGTTCTCTAGCAATTGAAATGACGATATTAATCAATCACGTGCTGTGATAAGCCAAAGAATCATTTGTAGGACAGATGGTCGATCAACTCGATTGGATTATTTTTGATGCGATTTGCGTAAATTTTCGCTCGCGCCCATGGCGTGCAATTATCGCACATGTGGTGTGAATGTTGCTCCGAGTGCGGGCGCCATGTTACCGAAAACCTGTGCAATATTCTGTCAGAGCCACGACCTTTCATATGGCATGGTTCTGACAGCACAATGGCTGACCAATCACATGCCGTTGTTGACATGCCATTGCTTTCCGATGAATACTCGGCGTGTGAGATTCGTCAAGAGAAGGCTCCATCTACCGCATTAAGTGTGAATATTGCATGCGTTAACTCTGCATTTGATCCTTTCCAGGCGACGGCCGATGTGGCAACCGGCGAGCATCCCACTGCGGCGGCGGCGGCCGCTACCGCCACCGTCGCTGACGCCGCCGCTGCCTGCGCCTGTCCGCGAGCCTGGCGTTGCGGCGCTGGGTCCGCAGCCCGAAGCCGTCGTCACGGCCCCGGCGCCGCCCGCTGCCGATGCGGCCGCCGCCTCGGGGCCGCCGCCGCAGCCCGCGACTAGAGCCAAGCGGCGCCGGGATCTCTCGGCAGATGGCGAGGAAAAGGGCGGTGAGGGCCTCAGAGACGGGACCGGAACGGACGAGACGGCTCTCCATCAACGCCGCAAGTACAGCTTCTGCCCGGCGACAAGAGGCATCGCTGGAGCGGCAGGAGCGGAACGCGCGGAACGCTGCCCGCCTTATCGCTGGCCGGCAGGAGGCGCGGCAGCAACGCGCCGCGCGCCGGGCAGCGCTGCGCTATGCCAGAAGCACGTTTGTGGCGCCGCCCGAAATGCAGTTGGGCCAGATGGAGGTCGTGTGCGCCCACTGTGGCGCGCTGCGCTGGTGACAGGAGTCGCCCGGCGCCTGCTGCCGCGACGGCAAAGTGGCTCCGCCTTGCCACCCGCCGCTGCCTGAATCCCTGTGCCAGCTGTTTGAGCCGGAGTCGCCACACCATCAACACTTCGTCACCAACATGCGGGCGTACAACAGCGCGTTCCAGCTGGCCAGCATGGGCTGCAAGGAGGTGCATCAGCCGGGCTGGAACCCGACATTCGCGGTGCATGACAACGCGTGCCACCGTGTCGGCAGCCTGTTGCCGGTGGAGGGCGCGCAGCCCCAGTACCTGCAGCTGTACCCTTCGAGCAGGGACTGAAGGCGCGTGCCAAAATCTTCACCACCTTGCAGCCGAATGTCATGCGGCTGCCCCAGGGCATGCTGCACAAGCGCAACGCGTACGTGCGAGGCCTGCGCTCGGCGATGGAGCTGCTGTGCGAGGCCTGCTGTTCATCACCGTGACCTGCAACCCGCTGTGGCCGGAGATCACCGCTACTCTGGAGCGCCAGTACCCCGGACAGCACGCTCAAGACCATTCTGAGATCATGTCGCTGGTGTTTCGCCAGAAGGTCCGGGCACTGATGACCACACTCCGGCAAGGCGGTGCCCTCGGCCGCGTGCGCGCCTCCATCTACACCATCGAGTGGCAGAAGAGGGGCCTGCCGCACGCGCATATCGTGCCCTGGCTGGCGCCGGAGGACATGCCGCGTCCCGACCAGCTGGATCACTTTGTGCGCGCCGAGATCCCGGACGCCGACGCCGAACCGGAGCTGCACGCCATCGTCACCATCAAGATGGTGTACGGACCGTGCGGCACCCTCCGTCCGACGGCGCCGTGCATGGTGGACGGAGCGTACAAGAAGCGGTTCCCGAAGGCCTTCCAGTCCATTACGGAGGTGCACGACACGGGATACTCCCGGTACCGGCGCCGCAGCCAATGTGGCGGAGGACGCACGGTGCAGCTCAACGGCTGGCCGGGCGGCGCCGTCGACGTCGACAACCGGTGGATTGTGCCCTACAATCCGTTCCTCAGTCGCGCCCTGTACGGCCATGTCAACATGGAGATCATCACAAACGCCGTCACGTGCATACGGTACGTCATCAAGTATGTCATTAAGGGCGGAGACCAGGTGATGTTCCGGGTGTCGGCTGGGGATGAGGTGGTGGACGAGATCGCCACCTACCAGCAGGGCCGCTACCTGAACGCCATGGGGGTAGCGTGGCGGCATTTCGGCTACCCTGTCCAAGAGCACCAGCCGCCAGTGCAACAGCTGTCCGTCCACCTGCGCGGCGACGACCAACCGCTGTGCTTCCGCGCCGGCGTCAGCCCGCTCAAGTGGCGGAGGACGCTGGCGCCGACACCAAGCTCACCGGCCTCTTCAAGCGGTGCGCGGAGGACGAGTTTGCCCGGACTCTGCTCTGCCACAGTGTGCCGCGCTACTACACGTGGCAGACGGGAGCTCGGTGCTGGCGTCGGCGCCGCCGAGGCAAGCCGGACGTTGCCGGCATCTTCGCCGCTGAAGCCATCGGCCGCGTCTACACCGCCAGCCCGCACGCCGGGGAGGCGTTCTAGCTGCGCCTGCTCCTCCACAACGTGCGTGGGCCGCGCACCTACGAGGAGCTGCGCACGGTGGATGGCCAGGTGAGCGCCACCTTCAGGGGTACATGCTCGGTACACGGCTTGCTGGAAAACGGCCAGCACTGGCACCGGGCCATGGAGGAGGCGGCCGTCGTCGCCCTCCCCCGCCAGCTGCGGCGGCTGTTCGCCGTGATCGCAATCGAAGGCCGCGCCAGCGGGCCATGGAGGAGGTAGCCGTCGTCGCCCTCCCCCGCCAGCTGCGGCGGCTGTTCGCCGTGATTGCCGTCGAAGGCCGTGTCAGCTGCGATCTGCTGCGACTGTGGCACACCTTCCGGCACGCCATGACCGAGGACGTGCGCCACCGGCTGTCGCGGGTGGGCGACGGCGGCGGCGTCGGCGACACCGACGAAGCCGACGGCAGTAGCGGGAACACCTAAGACACCGAACACGAACCTAGCATGCGGCTCATCTACGACGCGACCCTGCGCCTCATCGGTCGTCATCTGCGCCGCCTCAGCGGCCAGAGGCTGGTCGACGTCTGCCTGCCGCAGCCGGCCGGCGCTCCAAGCCAGCCGATCGCCGAGAACGGCGGCGAGGCGCTGGGCCGCCAGCGTGCGCACGTGGCCGCCCGCCTGCCGCTGCTGACCGACGAGCAGCGCCTCGTCTACGACGAGGTCATGCGGCGGCTGGACGCGGGCGACGGTGGCCCCATGTTTCTGCAGGCACTTCTGGGAGGTAAGTAAGCAACCGCACCTTCAGAAGCGCAAAGTTTTGCGATTGCATCACGCCATCTGTGTCGTCAATGACGTCCGCAACCCCGCAGGGGCACCGGCTACGGCCGGTATAGGGGACTAGCGCCCCCTCGGGTCCCAGCTCCGGTAACGGGTGGACAGCGCAAGCTGTTCCTCTCAGGGCGTAGCGACCCTGCCGGTACGTGAGCTCCTGTTCCTTGTCCCGCGCCGCTCCCTCCACATTACCCGCACTCCCGCATCCGGCCCTATCACCACTCTTCATTCTCGTTTCATCGGGGTCACCGTGCCCCCTTGCCCACGTCCCCGGGTTGATCGGATTCTGGTGGCTGAGGGGCGCGTCGTGCGGGTCAGTCACGGTGCGTCCCAACACTCCACTTTGACCAGGATATCCGGGGGCGTGGGGGGCCCGTGGGGCCCCACACGGGTCTAGCGACTTGTCGCTCGCGTTGCGGTTGGGTGCTCCTTGCTTGGGTGCTGGGTGGTCTGTGCGGGTCTCCGCTTGGGGCGCCTGGCAGCACGCAGCGGCTTAAGGGGTCAAGGGCGGCGGCCCTGAACCCCGGTCAGGACGGGGAGGGGTCTCCCCGGTTACACCTGGCCGTGTGGGAGGCGTCGTTCGCCCCGTGTAGCGCCGGGGTAGCCTGGCGGCACCACCACCCTCTGGGTGAGGGGGTCGTCCCCCAGTTGGGCTCCGAGGTGGGTGTGGAGCCTCGGTGTCGCACGCTAAAATGTTACATGCATGACAACTTTCATCTAAATAACAAAAAACACCCGCACCCCGAAAGAGGGGCAGACTGAGGCTACAGGTGGCATTGCGTCAGCGCCTACCCCTCGAATCTCGATATTCTGAAGCGCAGAGAAGCCGCTGTCGTCCCTTTCGCCCTTTCAAAGGCGAAATGGGTGTGATCAGTTTGGAAAGGTACTTGTATCATGATGTTACTGGCGTGCACCTGAGGCCGCCCCTGCTCGCGCCGCCAGTGCTGGTGCACCTTGGTACGCCGCTGCCCCGACTGGCGGTGTGTTGCCTGGGGCGCCGCCCGCCGGGGTCGGCGCCGCCCGCTCGCCTCGCGGGTTAATACAGTTGCCGTCTCGCAGCGCTCGTGTCTGGTCTGGGCAGACAGAACACGTAAGACTTGAATATGGCGCAGCCGCATTGGACCCAGAGTAAGCTTAAGGAAGCATGAGTAACACAATAATTTAAGCAGTGTGAGTTGTGAAGAAGGTCGAGATGCCTGGATTTCGACCTCCTGAGGAATTCGACTTCACATCGTCTGAGAGGTGGCCGACCTGGCGCAATCGGTTCATCGGCTACAGACTGGCATCGGGACTACACAAAGAGGACGGTGACGTTCAAGTAGCTGCGTTGATTTACAGTATGGGTCCGCAGACTGAGCATATCTTACCAACATTAAAGCTTACTGCTGAGCAGAAGGAGGATTTTGAAGTTATTGTCTCAAAGCTAGACGGGTACTTCATTCCGAAAAGGAACTTTATTGCAGAGCGTCACAACTTCGAGCTTAGATCTCAAAGCTCAAGCGAGACTAATGAATCGTACATCAGAGCTTTGTTCTCTCTAGCTGAACACTGCAGCTTCGCTGACGCTGATGAGCGTATCCGAGATCGTCTCATCTCAGAAATGTCTGGCAGGGAGCTGTCCCGTAGAATTCAGCTGAAGTCACTAGAGGAGGAAGTGTCTGTAAATATCGTCATTTCGATGAGGCGTAATGTGGAGATCGTGAACGGCCGTGACAGCTCTGGTCCGCCTGACACCAGTAGAGTTTGTGCACCGGCGCAGCACAGGCAGCCGCGCCGGCAGCACCAGCAGTACAGAAGTCAACAGCGGCCTTCCACCGCGCAACGGCAACAGCATAGTCAGCGTACCGACTTTTCAACAGCATGCAGATACTGTAGAAGAGCACGTCATGTGTCTCCGAAAGATTGTCCCGCTAAGGGAAAAATTTGTGACGACTGTCAGAAAATGGATCATTTTGCATCTGTTTGTCGCTCCAACGGTGTCAGAGCGATTGAGCGGACAGAGTCCATTGAACAGCTATCGCCGCCCAAAATTTTTCTTGGCGAAGTAGACGAAGCTTGCGCGCCATGGAGAGTTTCAGCCCTTCTAAATGGTTAACGAGTCGCTTTCAAAGTTGACTGGCGCCGATGTTAGCATACTGACGCTGAAAACGTACAAGAAGCTGAAACTGCCGCCGCTTCAACATGCTTCAAATACTCTGACAAGTGTTGGTAGCGTGCTAAGAGTAGAAGGAAAGATGCACGGAACACTCATGTTCAAGAACAAAGCCGAGCCTGAAGTGTTCTACGTTGTTGACTCAGCTGATGATCTCCTCTCTAGGTCTGCTGGCTCGCGCATGGGCGTACTGAGGTTCACAGGTGAAGTCAACGAAGACGTCTTCGGAGAGGCAGACCTTCTGAAGCCAGCGCCGGTCAGCATTCAGCTCCGTGAAGATGCTGTTCCAGTCGCCCTTGCCACTGCAAGAAACATCTCGCTGCCACTGATGAAGCCGGTGGAAGAAGAGCTGAAGAAGATAGAGCATCACGGCATCATCACGTCGGAGACCGAGCCAACGGACTGGGTCTCTGCACTGGTCCCCGCCCCGAAGCCGAAGAGCAGCGGTGTCCGCATCACGGTTGACTACAAGAGACTCAACCAGTCTGTGAAGCGACAGGTGTTCCCGATCCTTACTCTGGAGCAACTGACCTCCAAGCTGAGTGGCGCGACGCTCTTCACCAAGCTAGACGCCTCTTCTGGTTTCTACCAGATCCCGCTGGACGAGGCAAGCTCCAAGATGACCACGTTCATCACTCCGTTCGGCAGGAAGAGGTTCCTGCGACTGCCGATGGGGATCTCGCTCGCACCGGAGTGCTTCCAGCGGAAGATGGATGAGATGCTGGACGAACTGCCCGGAGTCATCGTCTACATGGACGGCACCGTGGTGTTCGGAGATGCTGCCAGTCACGATGCACGTCTCGAAGCCGTCATCAGGAGGATCCACGAGTCTGGCCTCAAGCTGAACAGGAAAAAGTGTGAGTTCCGGAGGAACGAGGTCAAGTGTTTGAGGATGAAGATCAGCAAGAACGGCATCAGCATGGACGAAGAGAAGCTCGAAGCGTTCCAGCAGCTCCAACCGCCAAAGAATGTCAATGAACTAAGGTCTCTGCTCGAAGTAATCAACTTCCTGGGCCGGTTCATTCCACACATTCAGGAGTGCTTGAGACCACTGAACGAGCTTCTGAGGAATAACGTAGTATGGATCTGGACACCACAGCAGCAGCAGGCGCTGGATGACGTGAAAGCAGCCGTCACTTCAGCTCCAGTTCTGGCGTTCTACGATCCAGCACGAGAGACGGTGGTCAGCGCCGACGCCAGCCGATTCGGCATCGGAGGATGTGTTCTCCGGAATCACGGCTCCGTCTTCAAACCCGTCGCGTTCTGCAGCAAAAGCCTGACTGACACCGAGACCAGATGGGCGCAGATCGAGAAGGAACTACTCTCCGCAACGTGGACGTGCGAGAAAATGCACATGTTCCTGCCCCCACTACCGTCGTTCGAGCTGCATCTGGACCACAAGCCTCTGATCCCGATGGTTAACACGAAAAATTTCGTGGATGCGCCGATCAGATGCCAGCGCATGCCCATGCGCTCGATGCGATACAACGCCACAGCAGTCTTCGTTCCAGGGAAGCAGCACCTGGTGCCCGACTTCCTCTCACGTGCTCCAGAAGCAGGATGAAATCAGCGCTGTGCTTCAAGAAGACATACATGGATTCTGCGACAGAATCTTCAGCGATCTTCCCGCCACACCGCAGCGTCTGGTGGAGATCAGCAAGGCGCAGCAAGCAGACGAACCCCTACAGCGCGTAGTTCAGCAGACTCTCTCTGGCTGGAAGGAGGGAGCGAAGCATCCCGACCTGCTGGACTACTTCGCCTCTCGGGGAGAGATGACCGTTCTGTACCTAACGCGTGGTACACTGCTGATGCACGGGCGACGCATCGTCATCCCCCCGAGTCTGCGAGATGAAGTACTCACTCGACTACATGATGACGGACACTTCGGTCTAAACAAGTGTCGCCAGAGGGCAGCAGTATCGATCTGGTGGCCTCAACTCAGCATCGACCTGAAGCGTCATCTCGAGAGCTGCTCGTTCTGTCAGGTGAACGCGCCCGCCCAGCGCGCTGAGCCACTGGTGACAACTCCAACACCATCAAAACCGTGGACGCACGTTGCAGCAGACGTCTTCCACTTCAACAACTGCAACTGGCTCGTCACGGTGGACATCTTCAGCAGATATTTGGAGATACAACGCCTCCTGAGTCTCACCAGCAGCGCAGTCATCGAGCGTCTGAAGCGCCTGTATTCCTGCTTGGGGATACCAGACCTCGTGACAACAGACGGAGGAACGCAGTTCACTTCAAGCTCGTTCGCCAACTTTACAGCGTCCTACGGCTTCACAAACCGTATCACAGACCCGCACACGCCGTCTTCCAACGGAGCAGCTGAAAGAGCCGTGAGAACCGCCAAGTGGATACTTCGCCAGAGGGAACCCCACCTCGCCCTCCTCAACTACCGCACGACGCCTGTGGAGGCAACCGGATACTCCCCAGCCCGTCTCCTGATGGGACGCGAACTTCAATCTCTTCTACCCATCGCTCAGCCAACCGGAGAAGCGACATGGCAGCATGCCAAACTCCGAGATCGGCAGAGAAAGAAGAAGCTGGAAACGTGCTTCAACCGGAGACGCGGTGCCCGCGACCGTCAGCAGCTACAGCCCGGGGATCATGCTCGGGTCAAGACGGAGAAGGAGGCAAGCTGGTCCGAGCCCGCCAC